AAAAAAAAATAGAAGAATTAGCTGGCATGGTGGTCCATGCCTGTAAACCAGCCATTTAGGAGGCCGAGGCAGGAGAATCCTTTGAACCGGGAAGTGGAGGTTACAGTGAGCCAAGATCATGCCACTGCACTCCAGCCTGGGTGACAGAGTAAGACTCAGTCTTAAATAAATTAATTAATTAAAAAGATTTTTTAAAAGAGTGAATGGCATAGACTGTATCCTTTTCAATAAATATTGGTTAGACACAGAAATGAAATATTTTGAGGGAAAAGGTGCACAGATTAGGTTTCATTTTGAAGAGATTTATTGAGCAGAAATAGGAGCAGAGAAGATGGAGAAGGTAAGTAGAAAAAAAATACAGACTGCAATAAGAGACGTTCTTTAAACATGGTTATATATAGTGGATGTCTTAGTGTAACTATCAGAAAATGTCCACGGGCTGAGTGCAGTGCTTCACACCTATAATCCCAGCACTTACGGAGGCCGAGGCAGGTGGATCACTTCAGGTCAACAGTTCAACACCAGAGTGGCCGTCATGGTGAAACCATCTCTACTAAAAATACAAAAAAATTAGCCAGGCATGGTGGCAGGTGCCTGTAGTCTCAGCCACTTGGGAGGCTGAGGCAGGAGAATCACTTGAACCTGGCAGGCTGAAGTTGCAGTGAACTGAGATTGCACCACTGCACTCCAGTCTGGGTGACAGGGCAAAACTCTGTCTCAAAAAAATAAAGGAAGAAAGAAAGAAAATGTCCACAAAGCCCACAATGAGTTAACAGCAGTGAACTTTCTTAAGACAAAGAAGAGTCCACACCCAAGGAACCGCCACTTCACTCTGGCTATGCTCCCTGCCTCACGCACACACTTTCATAGACACATTCACAAATCCAGTCAAAATTTCCTTCAGGTCATCCTGAAATTCTACACAGTATTTGTCAAATGCTCTAAGGTTGAACTTCTAAAGCACCTTCCTAATTGGATAGCAAGAAAGAAGCCAGATTATTTAGAAAACATGGTAGGAATTCAACCAGAGACTCTCAGGAGATGCTTGTGAATTTCCTTCTGCTTCGGTTCACTTGAAATGTCATTTCATAAAGATAACATTCCCCAGGATATCCACTGTGAAAACTAACATATTTTTATTCCATGAAAATATAAAAGGCACACATCAAATGTATTTCAGTGATGCATGAATTGGGCATTACAGAAAGGGTCTGTCATTATTAGGCAAGACCTAGAGGATGGGAGGGGGACAGGAAACAGGTTGGCTGCTGATCGGATTAGCTAGATTCTGTAGACTGATTATCTATTGAGTTACGCCCAAATCCTCCTTGCAGGCCCCTCCCATTATCATACCAGGAACTGCCAATCATGTCAGTTTCTGCTGACAAATCCCCTGGCTCCACCCCTTGCTGACAGCATAAAGGATTCCCTCAAGAGCTCAGCTGTGAGAGGTTGATCCTCCTGCTGCTGGCCACAGTTCAGTTGCTCCACAGCCCAAGTCTTTGGGACCAGTTTTGGAGCTGACACTCCTCTCTCAAAGGAAGTAAAGAATCCAGGGGCCAAAAAGAAATCTTTGCAGGACACAGAAACACTGGCATTGGCTGACTTGGAGAAGACTGGAAATTTAAACCATGAAAGGTTCCCGGCGCCCAAGAAGCCCCAGTGATTACTGCACGGAATCCAGGAGCGACCACACAGGAGGGAGCAGGTGAGCTGTGCTGTGTACTGGGGACACCTGCAGGGTGACCCCGCCTGTGGAGTGTGTGAGTGTTTGTTGGAGAGCAGGAAGGAGGAAGAGATGCATGAACCTGCAATGAGATTGGGTGTTTTAAATTTGGGGCAAGAGAAAAGTGAGGCACCTGTAAGTCATCACAAGGTGCTGGGAAGGCTTCTACAACTCAACTACAAAGGTGTCTCAGGGCTGCCCCATTTCCAATCCACCCACCCAGCTCCACAGGGAAGGGGCTCTGTGGTCTGCAAGAAGGGAGATTGTAGGACATGATGTGAGGAGTTAGTGATCTATTAAGAAAAAATTTTTTTCTTCCTTTTTTATTTTTTATTTTTATTATTTACTTACTGATTTTATTGAGACAGTGTCTCACTCTGATTGTCTAGACTGCAGTTCAGTGGCATGATTTTGGCTGACTGCAGGCTCCACCTCCAAGTCTCAGATGATCCTCCCACCAGGGCCTCCTGAGTAGCTGGGACACAGGTGTGCACCATCATGCCCCACTAAATTTTCTGTTTACAACAGAGACTAGGTTTCACTATGTTTCCCAGGCTGCTGTCAAACTCCTACACTCAAGCAATCCTCCCTTGGCCTCCCAAAGTGCTGGGATTATAGGCATGAGCCACCATGCCCAACGAATTCCTTCCTTTTTTGTCACTTTTATTTGCATCCTAAAATCCCATTCCTACATTACCTGTATAGACAGACGTGTCCGATATCTGGCATCTCACTGTATTTCTCCAAGTCCTCAAACCCAAGGAGAAGTTTCTAATTCTCGCCTTCATGTGCTCCTGAAAGAGTAAAATGCTCCCCGTGGGCACCAACCCTCCTTCCCTTCCTTTTCCTAACCCAGGGAAACTCAGGCAGATGGGGATGAGAACAAGAACAGCTGGGAGTTAGGATAGATTGGGATCAGGTCTCACAGGAAGTGGATGATGAGTCTGTGACCCTGAATAAAAGGTGAGGAGGTGGAGTGAGTTTGTGGGGATTCAGGGTGGAGATTCATGGTGGCTCATGCCTATAATCCCAGCATTTTGGGAGGCCCAGGTGGGCAAATCATACGAGGTCAGGAGTTCAAGACCAGCGTGGCCAACATAGTGAAACCCCATCTCTACTAAAAATACACAAATTAGCTAGACGTGGTAGCAGGCACCTGTAATTCCAGCTACTCAAGAGGCTGAGGTTGGAGAATTGCTTGAACCTGAGAGGTGGAGGTTTCGATGAGCTGAGATTGAGCCACTGCACTCTAGCCTGGGCAACAGAGTGAGACTCCAACTCAAAAAACAAAAAAAGATTTTTTTTTCTGCTGAGTTGTTGGAGCTCCTTATATATTTTGAATTAATTTGTATATTTTACTTACCACCTGATAGACACTGTAAATATGCCTTTTTTGATAAAATATCTAAGTTGCCTGTGATTTATTTTTTCTTCTCACTTCTTCAGAGTTTTGCTAGTTTTATAATGTCTAAATATTAGCTTTATAATATATTAATATTTCTGGGCGGGCACAGTGGCTCACACCTGTAATCCCGGAACTTTGGGAGGCCAAGGTGGGCAGATCACTTGAAGTCAGGACTTTAAGACCAGCATGACCAACATGGTGAAACCCCATCCCTACTAAAAATACAAAAATTAGGCATGGTGCCACACACTTGTAATCCCAGCTACTTGAGAGGTTAAGGCGGGAAGATTGCTTGAACCTGGGAGGTAGAAGTTGCAGTGAGCTGAGATTGTACCACTGCAGTCCAGTCTAGGTGACAGATGAGATCCATCTTTTAAAAAGGAGGGGGGTACATTGTTAGAGAAATAATATACTGTCTGTAATCCCAGCACTTTGGGAGGCTGAGATGGGAGGATTCCTTGAGCCCGGGAACTCAAGACCAGTCTGGGCAACATAGTGAGACCCCATCTCTGCAAAAAATGAACAAAATAGCTGGGTGTGGTGGCACAGCCTATATTCCCACATAGGAGGCTGAGGCAGGAGGACCCCTTGACCCTGCAGTGAGTTATGACCATGTCATCGTACTCCAGCCTGGACCGCGAAGTGAGACTCTGTTACAAAAAGAAAAGAGAGAGAGAGAAAAATATGCTGAATGTGATTGGGATGATCACCATTGCTCACCACAAGTCCATGAGGGAAAACATGAACCTAGCTTGTCATGAGCAGGAACTGGACAGACACTTAGCCTTAGACATAAGCACTTACGTCTGAATTGTACACTTAAAAGTGGTTGATTTTATGTTATGTGTATTCTGCCACAATTTAAAAGGCAGACATTGTCTCAAAAAGTTGCACTTTGTGCAATGACTGGATATTTGGCCAGTTGCACAGATTGACAATTGACAGTCCTCAGTCCCAGCCACCCACTTTGGGAAGGTGTGTGGGATCGAGGACTGCTGGAATCTTCACCAGCAGTTTTTACGTAGTCAACACATTTGCCTGAGTCCAGCCCTGCTAAGCACTTTGACCAAAGCCATCCGAACCTCCCGGTTCCTCAGACTGTAGATAAGGGGATTGAGTGTAGGGGTGACAAGGCTATAGAAGAGGGAAACCACGTTATCCTGCTGTGGACCGTGGTAGGCGCCAGGCACCATGTACATGAACATGGCTGCACCGTAAAAGAGCCCCACTGCCGTGATGTGTGAAGAGCAGGTGGTGACAGCCTTGTGTCTGGCCTCCTCTGAGCACAGGCTTAGAACAGCCTGCAACACGTGGCGGTAGGAGGTTGCAATGAGGGAAAGAGGGAGCATTAGAATCAGCACCCCCGAGGTGGATAGCGCCAACTCGTAGGCAGAGGTGTCTGCACAGGAGAGCTTCAGCAGGGCTGGCACCTCACAGAAGAAGTGCTCCACAGTACGGGAGGCACAGTAGGGGAAGTGCATGGTGATGGAGGTCTGGATGGAGGCGTTGAGCACACCTGCCACCCAGGAGGCACCCACCATCAGCAGACACACCTGGCGTCTCATAAGTACTGCATACTGCAGGGGCAGGCACACAGCAACATAACGATCATAAGACATGAGGGCCAATAGGACGCCCTCAGCCACACCCATCAATGTCAGGAAGAATATTTGAGCTGCACAACCTCCATAAGAGATGCCATCTTCCCCCCGCATAAAGTCTGATGCCATCTTGGGGATGGTGACCATGAGGATGCCAACATCAAACAGGGAGAGCTGGCTGAGCAGGAAGTACATGGGTGTGTGGAGCCGGGAGTCCACATGGATCAAGAAGAAAAGAGCGGTGTTGCCCAGGAGGCCTATGACAAACATGGCAGCCACCAGGGAGAAGAGGAGCTGGCGTGATCCTGAGTGACTGAAGAGGCCCACCAGAATGAAGTCTGGAGCCACTGACTGATTCACATCCTCCATGTTTCACACAATGCACTTTAGCTGCAGGAAGAATAGCTGACCTATGGCAAGAAGCCTGCATGGGGTGGTGAATAATTTCCATCTCACATGCCAATTGCCATTGATTGGTAGTGGCCTTTTGGGATGGCGTCTTGAGGAGGTTGCAGCTAGAATCGGTACACAGGAGGGAGAAAACTTGATCAATTAGTGTCTCTCCAAGGCATGCAATGGGAGAGATGCAACTGGCATCTCTGAATGAGACACTTGGCCACACCCAGCGAAGGGCTACTCACTGCTCCCTGTAGTCACAAATTTGAGGTTCAAGTTAAAGACAGTCACATAAATGGTGAAATGCTTCAATACGCCTCATCCCAGGGGTCCTGTAACCAAAGCAGACATCAGATACCAAAAAGGCTGGGAGGTGAAATAGGGAATGATGAAGCTGAAGCAACAAGCTAAGTGAGAAAACAGAGAGAAGGGCTTGGGTCTAAATGCCTGGATGAGAATCTGAAGCAAAGAGAAATATGTGATGAGCCAAGGAAAATAAGTCTTTCTACCAAATGGGCATGTTTATCATGCACTGTTCACAATAACAAAGACGTGGAATCAACCGAGGTGCCCGTCAATGGTGGACTCTATTTTTTTTAAAATGTAGTATATAGACACCATGGAATACTAGGCAGCCATAAAAAAGAACAAAATCAGCTGGGCACAGTGGCTCATGCCTGTAATGCCAGCACCTTGAGAAGCAAAGGTGGGAGGATCACTTCAGCCCAGGAGTTCAAGACCAGCCTGGATGACATGACAAGATCCCATTGCTACAAGTCTGACTTTACATTTTTTGTTTGTTTGGTTTGGTTTTGTTTTGGTTGAGATGGAGTCTTGTTCTGTCACCCAGGCAGGAGTGCAGTGGCGCAATCTTGGCTCACTGCAACCTCCACCTCCTGGGTTCAAGAGATTCTCCTGCCTCACCCTCCCAGGTAGCTGGGACTAAAGGCATGTGCCACCACACCTGGCTAATTTTTGTATTTTTAGTAGAGACAGGGTTTCACCACACTGGTCGGGCTTGTCTTGAACTCCTGACCTTGTAATCTGTCTGCCTCAGCCTCCCAACTTGCTGGGATTACATGCATGAGCCATCTTGCCCAGTCCCTGGAGCTCTTTGTCATGAAAAACTTATTCCTGTGGAGTTATTCCTCACTCAGATGGCCTTCAAGGCTGTCTTTAGTTACATACCATCCTGATTTTCTTATCCCATCCAAGCTCTTGACTACCATTCATCCATGCATTCAACAAAATGTGTCATTCCCTAGACTGAGCATAAAACATTCAGAGGTGAATCATCCAGGCAAGATCCCTGCTTCCCTGGACTCTACTATCTCCATCAGGAGACCAATGACAAACAAAATAAATGCACAAGACCTTTGGGGTAGGGAGAAGTGCAGGGGTGAAGTGGTCAGGATGCCCTGCAGGTAATAGCTAGGGACACTACAGGGCATAGTCAGGGAAGACTCTTGAGACAGGTGAGAGCTGCCTGGTATGGTTTGGACCTGTGTCCCCACCCAACTCCCAGGGTGAATTGTGATCCCCAGTGTTGGAGGTGGGGCCTGCTGGGAGGTGATTGGATCGTGGTGGTGGTTTCTCATGAATGGTTTAGCACCATCCCCCTTGGTCGTGACAGTGAGTTCTTGTGAGACTGGTTACTAAAAGTGTGTAGTGGCTGGGCATGGTGGCTCATGCCTGTAATCCCAGCACTTTGGGAAGCCGAGGCAGGCAGATCACCTGAGGTCAGGAGTTCGAGACCAGCCTGGCCAACATGGTAAAACCCAGTCTCTACTAAAAATACAAAATTAGCCAGGCGTAGTGACAGGTGCCTGTAATCCCAGCTACTCAGGAGGCTGAGACAAGAGAATCGCTTGAACCCAGGAAATGGAGGTTGCAGTGAGCCGAGATTGTGCTACTGAACTCTATCCTGGGCAACTAGAGCAAAACTCTGTCTCAAAGAAAAAAAGTGTGTAACACCTCCCCCTGCCTCTATTCCTGCCATGTAAGACATCTGCTTCTCCCTCACTTTCCACCATGATCGTGAGTTCCCTGAGGCCTCCCCAGAAGCAGAAGCTACTACCCTTCCTGTACAGCCTGTAGAACCATTCACCAATGAAACCTCTTTTCTTTATAAATTACCCAGTCTCAGATATTTATTTAAAGCAATGCAAGAATAGACTAATACACTGACCTTACTATCTGAAGACCTTCATGAAAGGGGAAGCATAGAATCACCTGCTTCATACTACTGGAAGGTGGGTGTTAAGGAAGGCAACTGTGTGGTTCAACCTAACAAAGAACTTTTAATGGTGAAATCAAACCAAAGATGGAATTGAGTGTCTCATTGGTAGTATTTTCCAGAGTCAATCAAAGATGTAGGGGAGTTTGGCTGGGCACAGTGGCTCACACCTGTAATCCCAATGCTTTGGGAGGCTGAGGCAGGCAGATCGTTTGAGGTTGGGAGTTCAAGACCAGCCCAGACAACAAGGTGAAACCCTGTTTCTACAATAAATACAAAAATTAGCTTGAACCCAGGAGGCAGAAATTGCAATTGCAGTGAGCTGAGATCACGCCACTGCACACCTGGGTGACAAAGCGAGACTCTGACTCAAAAAAAGAAAATGTATGGGAGTTAGGTAATTTAGCCCTGCAGTTACAGAATTTAGAGTTTAACAGGAAATATGAGCATTGTTCAACACATTTCAGCATAGTCTGATGAGCAATTTAATAAAAATGCATTCTTGATGATTTTGGTACCCAAGAGATGAAACTCTGCCTGGGATGGGATCTGGGAAGCTTCACAGAGAAGGAGGCATTGGAGATGAGTTTTGAAGGTCAGGTAGCAATTTTCCAGACAGCTAGAGGAGGGAAGGTTGTTCCAGACAGAAATAATAGAGTATCTGGGCTCTGTGAACTGGTGGATAAGAAAATGCACTCAGGAGTAAGGTGCTTGCAGGCAGAAGCCCAGGCAACAGTTTTCACATTATTATGGATAACATTTTTCTTTTTCGTGCAGCAAAGGAAAATTAGTACTGGGACAAAGGATCTCGCAGCAAAGCAATTCTTTTTACTTTCTGCAGAAAAAGTACTCCCATTAGCAATCTTGCCATGAGAGTGCAATGAAAAAAGGAAAGCAGACACATTTATTTCTTACGCATTTGGGGTTGCTCTTACTGCTGTGTCTGATCTCTGTTGGCTGGAGCCAGGCCTCACAATTTAAACTAAAACCCGATTGGCTAATAACTTGAAACTTTTCTAAACAAATAAAAGCAATCAAGAGAAAAAAAAAAAAAAAAGGAAGTCCAAATAATGAAGGGGCCTAAGCTGTGAGCTGGGACATGCCTGTGAGCACATCCAGCACAGATACTTTGGTGAAAGTACAAGGACATAGAATGTACTATGTGCCTGTAAGCATGTCTAACAGCTACATAGAATAGGGCTTTTGAAGAAAGTATTTGAAACAAACTATTATTTCTAACACAAATTTTTCTTAAACTAAAGCAAACTTTGACGAGGAACTTTTCTACTTCCCACAACACCCAGTCCTCCAGCTGCCTCTTGGAAACAAGGAGAGCTTCCTGAAAGCTGGGCAGCTCCTCCAAGCCCATTACCTCATACCCAAGGACACGCTTTCTATACCCCATTCTCAGGAATGAAGAGGAACCTTCAATTATCAGCAGATAATTGAAGGTGGTTGAAGCATCTATCTTTCTTCAACCCCTGAGCCCCAGAAATGGAAAAATGAAAGAATGAAACTCAAATATAAGTTTTTGGGAAGAGAAGCACGGGTGCTGGGAATGGAGGTGGGTGGGGAAACTGTTATAGAAGTGTTTGGCAAGGCCTTGATGACAGTAACAATTAACCACACTATTAGGCTGGGTGCGGTGGCTCACGTCTGTAATCCCAGCACTTTGGAAGGCTAGGGCGAGCCCAGGAGTTTGAGACCAGACTGGACAACATGGCAAGACTCTGACTCTACAGGAAATAGAAAAATTAGCCAGGCATGATGGCATGTGCCTACAGTCCCAGCTACTTGGGAGGCTGAGGTGGGAGGATCACTTGAGTCCAGGAGGTCCAGGATCACTTGAGTCCTGTGATCACACCACTGCACTCCAGCCTGGGCAACAGAGCACAGAGCCAGACCCTGTCTCAATTTAAAAAAAATTGTCCATAGGTATTAATACCTCCATGAATTTTGGAGGTGAGAAGACAGGGATTTGAGATGTGCAGTGCCTTGTCCAGGCTCAACCAGCAAGAAGGTAACTGAGTCAAGATTCTAACAAAATGAGATCTAATTCTCACACACCAGACTCCCTAGGCTATGATTTCTGGCTAATGGGTGATCATGTCCCAGCCTGGTCTGTAGAGAAGCCACACTCACCAACCCTCAGGGCCAGTGGTCCGCCATAGAACTGTTCTAGGACTGGCATTTCCCCTGGTTTCAGGCATTGCAGCCCTTTGGGATGGTGGGGAAGCCTTCTGAACCAAAACAAACCAACAGGACCTGCCTTGAAACTGCAGAGCAGTCTTGGGAAGAAGTCACGCAGGTTGACATTTGGGTCTAGAACAGTGTCATCGCCCCACCACTGGTTCCTCTAATGTGTCTTCTGCTTTCACAGACACATTTTACACTGTATGTGTAAAAATCTAACCAAAAATGAAATGGAGTGCCTCATTGGTGGCATTTTCCAGAGTCAATCAAAGATGTACGAGAGTCAGATAATTTAGCCCTGCAGTTATAGAATTTAGAGTTTGAGAGGGAGCATGAGCATTGTTCAACTCACCTCAGCACAGTCTGATGAGCAATGCAATAAAAATACATGCATGATGATTTGGGTACTCAGGAGATGAAACTCTGCCTGGGATGGGAACAGGGAAGGCTTCACAGATAAGGGGTCATTGGAGTTTTGAAGGTTAGGTAGAGGAGAGAAGGTTTCCAGACAGCTAGAGGAGGGAAGCTTGTTCTACGTAGAAGTAATAGAGCATCCGGGCTGTATGGACTGGTGGATAACAGAATGCACCCAGGAGTAAGACATGAAACAGGATTGTAGACAGAATCCCAGGAAATACTCCTGTGTGCCCCCAAACTCACCTTTCTTTTCAGGGTGCCCAAGTGGTCCCACTGTCTTTGATGCATCTGAAAAAAAATAAAAATAAAAAACCCCTTGATTTGGAGATCTCTAGCACTTCCTCTAATTTATTTGTAATGCCTTGGTGTCCTGAGGTTTTTTTGGTAGGGGGAACACAGCCTCATTTTGTCACCAAGGCTGGAGTACAGTAGCACAATCATAGCTCACTGCAGCCTCCAACTCCTGGGTTCA